GGGCAAGGGTGCATTGCATGATTCAATTTAACAACAGTCTGGAGCTGGGCTTTAAGAAACATTACAAACAATGATCTAATCTGCATTATCAGTGAGGTCTCTAGCAAACATATAGTCTACATTCTCAGTGATGTCACTGGTCTCTAGTGAATGGATAGTCTGCATTCTCAGTGATGTCACCGGTCTCTAGTGAAAGGATAGGCTGTGTTCTCAATGATGTTATCGGTCTCTAGTGAATGGATATGCTGCATTCTCAGTGATGTCATCGGTCTCGTTTGAATGGATAATTTACATTCTCAGTGATGTCATCAGTCTCTAGTGAAGGGATAGGCTGCATTCTCAGTGATGTCACTGGTCTCTAGTAATTGGATAGGTTGCATTCTCAGTGATGTCATCGGTCTCTAGTGAATGGATAGGCTGCCTTCTCAGTGATGTCACCGGTCTCTAGTGAATGGATAGGCTGCATTCTCAGTGATGTCACCGGTCTCTAGTGAATGGATAGGCTGCATTCACATACAATATGTTTTATATTTTTGCAAGACCCCAAACTCCTTTCATATTGCGTTGTGTGAATACATCCTTTACCTTCTATGGAGATGATCTGGTCTCCCCTCCTCTCTTGGGCCAGTGATGCTGCCGTGTGAACATTTAGTTCAGCTCCGCTACGTGAGGACCCCAGTTTGTTCACCAGCTGGAGAAAAAAAGACGACTAATGGTGAGATGGACAACTTCATATCATTCATCGAGACAGAGACAGACTATGTGGCCAGACAGCTTTGGGGTAAACTTTTATTAAATAAAACTTTGAGTTCAATATTTGTTCAAAAATCTAAAATCTTCTAGTGAAACAACAAAAAATCTAACACTATTTTTGGACTAATTTAACATGTTCTGTAATTATACTCTTTTTATTATAAAATTTACATAGGTCAGTTGTATAGATCTGGCTTGAAACAGGGTTGGACTGGACCCAAAATGTTGAGGCAATGATTTGAAGAGCAATCTTTTTGGTGACACTACTAATGTCCTGTATATCTGATCTATTTTGGAAGAAAATGAGTATACTTACGAGAGAGCATGCAGTTTAAAGGAGAACTATGGGGTCAGTGCTTTTACCCATAGTTCTCCTAAGGGTCACAGGAAGACATAAATTAGCGTCCTCCCGTGACCTACAGCTACAGCTTGCGGTATACTGAGACCGCCACAGCCGGGACGGATCCCAACATTACTGTCGAGATCCACCCAGCTGCGTGATTGACAGCTGGCTCTGCCTATCTAGAGGCAGAGCCAGCTGTGCCCGCCCCCTCCCCCGTCTGTTCTGCCAGTCAGCGCTGGAGGATCAGAGCGGGGGAATCCCTGCAGGGAGCCGTGAGTGACAGTCACGGCTCTCTGCAGGGACATGATCGAGAAGTGAGAGAGCGACGGTATGCATTCACTCACTTCCTGAGCTATAGAGCCGACGTGTGACAGTCTCATTGTGACACGTGAAAATCACTCACCTCATAGTTCTCTGTCCATAGTTAATCTGTCCAAAAATAGTACAGAACATTTGTATTGTTTCACTAGATATATCAACAAATATTGAACTCAATTATTTATTTATTAAATGAGTTTAGCCCCAAATGAGTTCTCTGTTCCGATCTTTTTGTATACAATAGAAGTGTGGTCAGGATGTGTTGGTGGGACTGGTTTGTAGCAAGAAGGAGGAAAATACAATCATTTGTCTTGTTTGTGTTTTGTTTTTTTTGGGTGGTTTAGGGATGGGAGGGATTTTGGGTTGTCGTTTTCCTTGCTTTTTTTTTTTTTAGTTGAGACCCCTAGGGGGGGCAAGATGGATTTTAATACCAATGGGAAGGGAAATTTATGGTGGCTGTTTTAGTAAGAAGTCATGACTATCTTTCTCTTCTGTTTTGGATTGGATTTCTCCCTGGGAGAGTCTTTTAACAGGATGTTTACATGTTTATATGTCTGCATTGTTATATATAGAAACAATAAAGAAATAAAGAAATAAAAAAATAAAAAAAAATGAAAATACAATAATGTTGTGTGATCATTTTTTTTAAAGTAGCTTTATTTAGGACACATCTCAACATCTTATATAGAAAGTTATATGAAAAACATCCATACAACAAGCCTGGGGAACGAGGTATGACATAACACCATTCACTTTGTGCATATATCCCTTAACAACCTGTGACTGACAGAGCCTTGCAGGAAAAACTGGGAAAAAGTAAGAATGTTAACATTAATTTAAACAAAAATGAACAATGCATTGGACCTACTGTTTTCTAATTTTATTAAGGGAGGGGTAAATAAATGGAAAGAAGGTGGGGTGGGGAGCATCACTGAAGAAAGGGCTTGGGAAGGACGGAGAGAGGGTTTGGGGAGTTGAGGAAGTAGAGGGAAGGAACAGGCAAGGGAAGAACTGCATGGAGATGGGGGTCAACCTGAATTAACCATAACAATGAGTGGCGAAGAGCTTTTCTGAGGTTTGGGGGAGTAAAGTGTGTCTGCACCCTACAGACTTAAGGGGGCCATGTCAGAAGTGGGCAACTTATCCTTATAAATGGCCAAGTAAATATACCCAATCTATGTTAACCAGGTATGTCAGAATTTTCCCTCTCTGTTGTAGGTGGAGGCTGTAAGTTCATTTTTATGACTTTGGTGAACCATAAGGTATAGGGTAGAGTGATGGGCTGTTTCCATAGGACTAGGATACATGCTCGAGCCGCGTGGTCTTTTTCTAATGCATATTATGTGAGACAAACAAACTGGGAATATGAGCATGTAAAGTTTCCCTGCCCAGTGGTAGCGGAGGCACAAATCCAACCAACACAGCCAAGAACCAGTTCTGATTGGAGCCACAGAGAAAACCTTACAGAAAGTTTTGAAACGATATGCCAGGTGGACATATAAAAACCTATTGAAGGCCCATACCTCACAATCATAATAGCCAATGTCTTCCTTGCTGGCATTCTTTATCACCAGGACCAAGGTTCCACTTCTTGGCTCGCCAAACGTCTGGTGCTTATTGGAATCTTGTAGTGGATGGCCATCCTTGTACCACCTGAGGACACAGAGAATGGGAAAGACCAAAGCTTCAGAGGGAGGGGTGTAAAAAAAACAAACAACCCGCTACCTAATGCAGAATGATCATTTTATATGTATGGTAGCGCAGCAGCAGACAACAAGGAAGGCAACTAGAGAACCGCTGCTATTAATCAGGGGACACAGCAAAACTCAGACTGGCCACTCATTTTAGCTTGGCCAAATTCATTACGTTATTCCCAGGTGTTTCAGGGTAGGCATACAGTCTCTTGAATTCATGCCACACAATTTTCCTCCCATGTATGTTGGTTAAGCTACTGCCTACTTACAGAAAAGATGGGGCTGAAAACCTGGGAACAGACGGTCTGTATTTTCTTTTGCTCAGAATACTGCCCATTGGCCATGGCCATTGGCGGAAAAGGATATCAGCAACTACAGAGGCTTAGCTATTGGGCCAGCCAGCTGCTCAGGATGAATACCAAGATGACAGTTCGTGCCATTTGGTAGATAACTCCTGAATCAATTATTGTTCCATTTTTTTTATGTTGATGTTGATGTTGATATATCACTTTAGGACTTTACATTACTTTATATTTGTGATGTCAGAGTCAGGGACGGATTTCACACAAGGCCGACCAAGGCCCGGCCTTGGGGTAGCAGGGAGTAGAGGGGCAGCAGGAGTGTGGAATTCCTATCTCATGACATGCAGTTCTGGGCGTCGGGCGGGTAGTTGTTTTCTACACTTAGCCATGCTTTGGGCAAACAGAGCTAAATTTAAAGCGGGGAAGCCGCCGCTTGTTTTTTACAAGTGATCTCGGCGATGTCACCGAGATCACTTGCAGAATGCAGAAGACCGTTGAATGCAGAATGCAGAATGATCATTCAGGTCTTCACTGATTACGGTCTTCAATGATCATTCAGTTCTTCAATGATTACGTTTGCAGGTCTGCCATTGGGGGAGGCAGGGGGGTTGGTGGTTAGGGGGGGGCGTATTGAGGAACCTGGCCTTAGGGCAGCAGAGAGGGTAAATCCGACCCTGGTCAGAGTAGTGTTGACATTATGTGATTTATAAACAAGAACCGGCTTTCCTTTCTGGTCTTCAGTCCCTGGATTCTATAAAGAAGTGCAAAGAGTTTCAGCCGGGAGGACTTGGCATGGTTCTGCTCCTTTTTCTTCCAGTTTTAATTATTTCAATGTATAAAAGCTGATTGCACATTTTTGCCGGTTAACATTTTATTCACACGGTTTGCTGGAATAAGAGTCAGCTATTAAAAGGAAATTACTCTGAGGTAAAAAGAACAAAAAGCAGTTTAAAATAACTCGTACATCATCATATTGGATATTGGCTTATAAGATGTTTAAAATAACTCAGTTTAAAATAACTCGTACATCATCATATTGGATATTGGCTTATAAGATGGTAGATTGCTCAAAGCAGAAGAACCTGGCGAACTCATAGGAATGCATTTTCTGGAGATGTTGGCTGTATGTCTCCTCTGCTCGAACGGTTCATTATTCATCAACCCGAAAGATAACTTTCTATTCATCATGGACATTTTTTTATGCAATACTTCAACTATCTGGTATATCAAATCTTTGCAACCACATGGCATTAACATAAAAATATAACACTGAATAGAATGTCAATGATTAATTACCAGAATTCCACCACTGCTCACCGTATTTGTGGGTAAGGAGCTCCCTCAATAGTGCATGTGATTCGAGCGTCTTCACCATCCGCAAAGTAAGAGTTGTGCATCTTGTTGATAAATCTTGGAGGAACTGAAATGAAAATGACAAAATAATAGTTAGAAGGAAGGAAGGAAGGAAGGAGGCAGAGAAGGAGGAACTAAGGAAGTAAGGATGAAGGAAGCAGGGGAGTACCCAGAAATCACACGGCCCCAAGGCAAAATTTTGTATGGTGGTACCTGCAGAACATGCTCCTGCTCAGTCTCCTTGGCGCCTGCTGGTTCTGAAGTCAGAGCCGAACTCAGGCAGAGGAGATCACTCCACCCTCCGCTGCACTGTTCTGTGTGGCCGCTCTGACTTTTTGCTTTGTGTATGTGACATCATGCTCAGTCGATAAAAGAGATTGACTGCTATCTACAAACTGAGTGCGAGTGACTTTCGCTCTGAGTTTTTGACTCACGGCCACACGGAACTTAAGGACACCTGCACCTCAGCCTTCTCTCCTGCTCCTGACTGTGCCCCCCCCGTGCACCGGGCCCCATAGCAGCCGCGTGGGGCACTATTTCGGAAGTTCTGCCATCGAAAGGAAGGAAGGGGGGAAGGACAGAAGGGAGAGAGGAAGGAAGAAAGAGAGGAACTAAGGAAGTACGGATGAAGGGAAAGAAGGAAGGAAAGGGAGGGGAGAGAGGAAGGAAGAAAGAGAGGAAGGGAGAGAGAAACAGAGGGAGGAACAGAGGGAGGAACTAAGGAAGTTAGGAGGAAGGGATTATCGGAGGAAGGAAGAAAGGGAGGAAGTAAGGTGGAAGGGAAGTATAGAAAGGGAGGGGGGTAGGAAGGAAAGAAGGAAGGAAGGAAGAAGTAAGGAGGAAGCAAAGTAATGAAGGGAAAAAGGAAGAAAGAGGAAGGGGGGGGAGGTAAAAAGGAGGGAAGAAGGGGAGTTCAAAGTAAATGAAGAAAGCAAGGAATATCAATATTGATACATGTGACTTCCAAGGGATTTTATTAATTATTTTATACTTTATATTTGCACAGTTTGTGCATGCCTTCTATATGTGCCGATTAAATACTTTGGCATATGATATACTGTATTGTGTTTGCGTTGGTGGTTTTCTTTGTACCGGTTTTGATTTACGGTTTATAGTTTCATATTAATATAAGCGATACACAAGGAAAAGTGGGCAACCAGTCATTATGATTAAGGCAACAATAACGGACTTGTAATTTGCTTCTCTCTTTGCCCAGATTCCGTTCGCACAATTATGGGAACGACTTCATAATTTGGCTTAATTAGGATGAAAGCAAAGTGAATAATTCTAGCTGTGAGCGTGAATCACACTGACAGGCCTTGAACTCTGTTCTAATGCATTGTTTCACAGTTCTGAGTCACTGAGTCACGGAATGGTTCGGCTCTGGAAGAGATTGGGAATCGGGGGGGGGGGGCACAGTGTGTTCTTGCAGAAGTTTCTCACAGCGGATAAGATCTCTTCAAGCCGGGCTGAAGCTAATTCAATGAATTTTCCACTCTTAGGAAAGTTGTACCAGACCTGTAACATGTTAAATGTGCATTTCCAGCCAAGCATTTGGATCTCTATAGGGAGACCATTCCATGCTTGTATCAATATCTCAGTATGTTTCATGAGATATTTAAAAGTCCAGACTTGTTGAAAGGTCTACTTTAAAATGATTGGTTGCTGGGCCTCCAGTGCGTCCCTGCACCTTATAAGGAGGAGTTGGCTACCTCCTGGTACACCTGCATGTAATTTATCGGCTACATTAATATGCTCACACTTGGAGACTCGTATAGGTAGAGTTAGGACCACACTTTGCAGAGGTGCCTTGGCGCGGCGGTGCGGCTTCTACATATTTTTGGCCAAAAGTTTGTGCAACTAAAACCTCTGTTTTTAACGCATACTGTTGACAGGGTAACTTTGTTTTGTTGCAGGCTAGCTGGCAGGTGTGCTGGGGATTTTGTGTGTTTTGTACTACTTTAAAATGAACCTGTGTCCAGACTATGCACATGTAATGTATCTACATATTTTGATCAAGCAGTAAAAACATGTTAAAACAAGCCCTCACTCACCTCTGTAGCTATAGACATTATGGGGAAAGCTCTGCTCCTCTTCTCTAAACTTCTATGGTGAGCAGAATCCTGGCAGCCTTCCAGCCTTCTAATGTAAACGCACAGGAGGTGCTCTAAGCTGCTAGAAACTGACTTAAACCAACTTCAGAGTCTCTTTTGTGATCACTGTGGATGCATTATTGCACAGTGCCTGCACCTACAGAGGTCAGTGATTGCTTGTTTTGACATTGTATACTACTTGTTAAGAATATGAACAATAGGTAACGTGAATATTCTGGGGCACAGGTGTGCTTTAGGGCTGGTTCACACTACGAAGTCTGCATTCCAGGCTCCCTGCATTCAGGTGAGGGAGGGGACATGGCGGTGCATTGAAGTAAATGGCCCCGCAGCCACACTCCCCGCCCACAGTGCAATCGTCCGCAACCAGGACGCAGGCACCACCGTTCTGGTCCAGTGCGATCTGCAAAAAATACTGCAAGCACTATTTTTGGAGATCGCACTGGACCGGAACACAGGCACTAATGTGCCTTCATTCTGGGTGTGGGTGATCGCACTGTGTTCAGGGGGCATGGCTGCAGTGCCATTGACTTCAATGCACCGCCATGCCCCACTCCTTACCTGAACGCAGGGAGCCGGCCAGCTTGCATTCCAGTACGTTCCAGAGGCCAAACGCTCTGGAACGCAGACTTTGTGGTGTGAACCGGCCCTTAAAGTTATTATAAAGTGGCATTCTGGATAAAACTTTTGTTCTAGTTTAGGACAGAGAGGGGCTGATAACACCGCTTGGGATTTCAGAGCAGCAGGAGCAGCATTGTCAGCTCACTACAGGAAGTTAGGGGCTCAATGGATTTCTGGAAGATCAATAGATATTTTTATGTACATGTAGGATTTTTAAAGAGACAAAACATGGAAATGTACTTGTATTTTCTGATTATTACAGAATAGACCATCACCTTGAATGAGGATCTTCCCTAACGTGCTGGCATTTCCGGCTGCACTGGAAGCAAAGCACATGTACTGTCCCGAGTCTACTCCGGTCATATTGTCCAATATGAGGGTACAGGAACCATCTGGGTCTTCAATGATGATGTGATGTGGATCCACTTCCACAGAACGGCCATCTGTGTGTGCAATCAAAAGTTCTATTTACTACGGGAAACAACTTTGTTCAAAGTATAGAAACCCAACAATGAGTCAGAATTCATCTACTGTGAAAGGGGCAGTTCTATATATTTATTTACTGCACATTCACATCAGTCCCTGCCCCTGAGGAGCTTACAATCTAAGGTCTCTATCTCATATAAGAGGGTCAAAGGAGACAGGAGCCAAGTAACCGTCTGGCATGTCTTTGGAGTGTAGAAGGAAACTGGAGAACCTGGAGGAAACCCACACAAGCACCGGGAGAACATGCAAACTCCTTCCTGACCAGGATATGAACCCCCCCCCCCCCCGCCCCGCGAAGGGCA